AGGTGTTGCCTATAGAGCACCTTGCCTACATGTATCCACCAGGAGGTGAGAGAGGAGCAGTGGGGAAGGTTCTAGGTCGTCACCCTACTTATAGATACCTGGATAGGATGTTCAGGAAGACCATTGATTGCAAAGGGTGGAGATAAGGGAAACATTGCAGATTACTCTAGGAACCTGCTCCACAGGATGGCACCTGATGCACGACCTTTTAGCATCTTTGATTTCATATGGTGCGAGATTAGGAGTGTCGGCGAGAGGCCCCTCAAGGGCTATGGTTTTGCTCCCTACATCATGCACATGATTGAGCAGGTCATAGGGCATACCTTTGAGTATGACAAGGTACATAAGGCCCTAAAGATTGTTGCAGATTTGCCTGAGGTTGGGGTACCTCCAGCAGGACCAGGAGGAGCAGCAGCAGCACCAGAGGCAGATGCACCTGTAGATGGTGCAGCAGCAGGACGAGCTTCTCCTCTACCATATGCTCCTTCGTGTTCTTGTCCATGTCGCCGCAGGCCTCCTTCTCCTATTCGCAAGATGTTTAGTGCTATCTTTGGGATGTGTAAGGACATACGGACCTATCAGCAGAAGGAGAGGGAGGCTAGGAGGAAGGACACTCAGACTCTGAAGCAGATTGCTTCTAGACTTGAGCTTGATCCTCCTAGGTCTCCACTATCAGATGAGGCAGCTAGTGAGCCTGAGACTGAGGAGCAGCAGCAGGGCAGGTACGACGCAGAGTTTGCTGAGTTCCTTCAGCGACAGCAGCAGCAGCAGCAGGCTCCATAGCACCCTAACACTTTACCACTACAGGCTCGGGTGCCTACTCACTCTCAGCCATGTCCCAGTGCTGCAGACGAGTATGCTTCAGACTGGTGGAGTGACCTCACGGGTAGTTTCTATGACCTGTCTGGTGCGAGTGGTTCTCGTCCAGCCGGTGCTACACGCTCAGATGATGAGGATGCTAATAGAGATGAAGATGATGATGAGTGATCATAGCCTTCAGAGATAGCTTGTAGCCCCTTTTGTCCTTAGTTTGTCATTGTTGGATCTTTGTGGTGATAGATGACAAAGGGGGAGAGAGACTGATTAAAGCTTCAGGATATTTGTCTCTTTTGCTTATCTTTGTACCTAAAGATATGTACTACAGGGTGTAGTTTCTGTTTTTAAGCTTCATTGATGTATCTTGGGTTTGAGATAGATGTATCACGTGAGAGATGAGACTTACTTATGTTTTATCTATGTTTCTCTTGAGACATGATCTTTATTTATATATTAGTGGCTTGTGGATTTGAGAAAATTTGTAATAAGTGCTATGTGTGACATACATGTGTTATATTGATTTTCATAAGGACTATGCATGCTAGAATGAAAATATTTGATGTGATGCCTTTATATTTATTCCTGTGTGATATATCTTGTCATATGCATCATGATTTCACTTTGTCACACACACATGCACCCCATGGATACAATGTTTTAGGGGGAGTCTCCTATATGTTTTAGTATGTGCAATTGACATTTGAGGTCATTTTATGAATTCTAATCATAAGCACATATTAAGGGGGAGCCTCTCATAAATCATTGAACCCAAAAGCTTAAATGTTTATATTTTTTTGTAATCTTTAATCAAGTTGTCATCAATCACCAAAAAGGGGGAGATTGAAAGTGCATCTAGCCCTTTAATGGATTTTGGATGATTGAATGACAACGTGATTAAAGGTCTAACCCGTTTGCTAAGTGTGGACAGGTAATAGGTTATCTCACCGGTACTTAATAAAAGCTAAAATGATGTGTTGTTGTATAAACAATCTAGTTCAAGCATAAGACAACAATGCAAATGGAATTCATACAAAGGCTTATTTATTGTGGGATTTCTATATACTATGTGAAAGCAAGCTCGTAAGAATTAATTATTGAGACATGAGGGATTGCATATGGAATAGTCTCAAATTTGAAGCTTGCTAAAATGAAATGAAAAAGATAACAATACAAATGAATGGATGATTCAACACAAGATGTGACTTGATGGCTTGAGATGGTGAAGATAGCAAGGAAAGGCTTCGAGGTACTAAGCAAGGGTGAAGGGCAAGCGACGGCTTGGCGGCCGAAGAACCTAGCTAGGGTGAAGAAGGAAGTACTTGCATTTAGTTGAGGTACTAATCAAGCTATGATGGTCATGTCATTGCGGAGGATCAAATCACTATTGGAGTCTTTGATGGAAGTGACTTGATATATTTGGGATTATTCAAATTTGATGAATGGAATCAAGTCACGTGCTCAAGATGGCTATGCTCAAGTGAAAAGATCAATATCAACATGTTGGCATCCTCACTTGATGAAGAGTGGAATACACGGCTTTGGTTGAAAAAGATCAACTCAAAAGGTTTAAATTTGTTATACTTTTAAATTTGAGTTAATAGGAATGACGTACTATTAAGAGGGATGCATCATGTTGATAGATAATGTTTCATAAGTGCTCAAGCCAACCCATATGAGCTTTGAGTGTTTGAGAGACAAAAGAGCTAACCTGTATTTTGCTGATTTGGCCATACCGGACGTGTCCGGTATTAATATCGGACGTGTTCGGTATGTGCCAAGCCACGATAAAATTCTTATTGTTCTCGGGTTGGTTCGTCGGGAGTTTCGACATGAGTCAGAAGTTTCGACGGTCAGGAGTTCAGACAATGGTCGGAAGTTTCGACGCCTTGCGCTTAACTGATTCAGATGGTTCACTGTCCTGGTCCGGTATGGACGACCAGAGGCCAACGACTAGTTTTCAAATGCCTTGAGGGTCGGGAGTTCCGACGTGAGCTGGGAGTTCCGACGGTCGGAAGTTCCGGCATGCGTCGGGAGGTCCGACACTTCACAAACTTCAACTCAGTTACTTAGTTTTTAAATATGCTGAGGGTCGAGAGTTCCGACGTGAGTCGGGATTTCTACAGTCGGGAGTTCCGGCATTCATCGGAAGTTCCGACGCCTCACATTGTCACTGTAACTTAGTTACTGTTGGGGCAGTGTAAGTCATACCAGACGTGTCCGGTATGCTGTCCAGTATGGCAACGGCTATAAAACGGCTAGTTTTTCCAAGGGGGCTATAAATACCCCCAAGCCTCCACCTTTGGAGGCTGCTAATTATGTTGATACACACACATTTTTGAGCCTTGTCAATTCTCCCAACCATCTCTTAGTGAGTGATTGATCAAATTTGCCAAATCAAATTGTGGGTTGAGTGAAATTCAAAAAGAGAGCAATCCAACCACTTGAGCACTTATGCATATTGTCAATCTCGTGATTCGCATTTGTTACTCTTGGACTCTTCGGTTCTAGATAGTTAGGCGTCGCCGGAGAGCACCCGAGAGATTGTGGCGTGCCTTGGAAAGTTTATAACGGTCGATTCCACCACCTCGGAATCAACTAGTGGAAGGAGGAAAAGGAGTTGGAAAAGACTTCGGCTAGAGTGACCTTCGTAGCACCCTCTAGGGCTGACCTTCGTTGGGTCGCCCGCTGCCCCCTCAACGGAGAGTAGGACTCGAACGAGTCCGAACTTCGGTAAAACAAATATCGTGTCTCAATTTGTATTTCATTTGATATTTGTATTGCTCTAGCTCTTGTGCAGGTTCTCTGTGTTTATTGTCATCTCTAGTAGATACCTGCAGTTTGGTTTAAAGATAGAAATCGAAAGGAGCAAGTTCAGGGCTGCTCTGTAGAAATCGTGTATACCGGACACGTCCGGTATTAGAGCTCAGTGCTGAATATTATTTGATCTCTATTCTAACTTTGTGTTGCTGGGTTGTAGCTTCTAGATATATTCTTTATACCTTATTTACTCTGTGGCTAACTTGTGAGGGGTGGTATTACTCTTAATTTGGAGTTTTTATTTTGGAAACTCTCTTTTGTAATTGTTTCCGTATTTTAAGGTGTTAATTTTCAGAAACGTCTATTCACCCCCTCTAGGCGCCATCCTAGGCCCTTTCAGTTTTTTATAACATGGTAGTGGGCTTGCCTATCATTTATCTCTCTCTCTCTCTCTTATATAAAAATATAATTTTTTCACGTGAAGTTGGATGCTTTATTTCAAAAGATGTAGAGCTCGACACGATTTACAACTTTATAGTTGATACGTTTCTTATTTAATATATTTTAGAGGCTTAAGTATTTGTTTTAAGTTATTAAATTTTAAAATTTAAAATTTTGAATTTTCAACTGACCTTGGATATTGGCATGGTCTACAAAGTTATAGTTCCCAATAAGGTCTATAACTTTACAGTTGACAATTTTAAGTTCTCTAATTTTGAAATTCATTTTTTTTTCAAATGACCCCTAAAGTTGATATGGTCTACACCAAAGTTATAGCTCTCAACATGATCTAACCTTGTAGTTGACAAATTTTTTATTTAAGTTCATTTACAGGCTCAATTTTTTTGTGGTTTAAAAACAAATAAATTGAATTCAAAATATGAGAATTTAAAACAAATATTTGGACATCTAAACAACAATAGATATATATCATCAATTACAAAGTTACAGAACGTATTGAGAGATACAATTTTGATGTAGACCATGTTAACATTTGAGGTCATTTGAGTTTTTTTAAAGTTGAATTTCAAAATTAGAGATCTTGCTAGAAACTACAATTTTATTGTAGACTGTGTCAGCATAAGGTCATTATTTAAAAAAAATCTAAAATCTTATTTAGAGATAATAATATTATATTAGTCGTTGAATTAAAAATATATAAATGTTACTAATATTTTTTTATTTTTTATAAATCTTGGAATATGCCAACATCGAAGCAGACACTACAGAGTACTGTATACAGGCCAAACAATCCAAACTCCGTCGTGGGCACGGACACGAAACAAACCACTTCTTGCCAGCACACGCCCGTACGACCGCCTGAAGTGCCCGAGTCCCCGAGATCCAAGCCCCCGCCCGGCCTCGTCCCTGATCTCTCCCCGGGGCGCGCGCGAACGACCGGCCACGCGGCCGGCGAGACGGAGGAGATGGCTGCCGCCGACTCGGCCACGGCCTCCTCCTCCTCCTCCCCGGAGTGCCCCGCCGCCCCTTCCATGCCGACGGACCCTGACTTCCTCAGCTGCGTCCTACAGCCACCGGCCTCCTCCTCGTCCCGCCCCGACGCCGATTACGCTGCCCTCCGCCGCCTCCTTCTCCGCCGCAAGCCCCCCTCCGCCCTTCAGCACCGAATGGTACGTAGGCGTACCCCCGCTTCTTAGATCCCCTCGTTCGTATCGCATCTAGCTTTGGGGAATGGATGAATTCGACTCATTGGTGGTCGCGGGAGGCGTTCCTGCGTGCAGGAGTGGCGGTGCAACGGCAAGGGCTATGTCGCCTACCGCAACTTTCTTCTCCGGCGCATCGACGGCGGCAGCGCCCACAGCACGCCCAGCAACAGGTTGGTGCGCCTTAGATCTTTTTTCGTGTGTCGCTGCCTGCAGCCAACAAAATAAGACAATGTTGCTGTGCTCGCGTGGCTTGCTCTAGTTGCGTTGTTAGTTTGTTGACCATGCTAGTTCACTGGCAGTATTTTGCTCTCAACCTTAATCTTTTGAATACATAGTGTGACCGAAAAGTTAAGGTGAAATGTAACCATGATAGTTATCATAACATCTGTAATTGATCAGTGGAAGGTGGGCTCCCTCTCCAGTACATGCTACACTCTCCGAGGCAGACAGCTGGAGTTATATGCGGGTATGTTTCATCTAATTTCTCTCTCTGTTTTACCTCATCCTTTCAAGTTTCATATTTTTGAATCGTGTGAAGAGGCTTTTGTGGATAATTTTACGCGAGACTGATGCAAAAAGGAAATTTTATGCAAGAGATGCTTACTTTCATGCTGCTTTAAACTTTTGTGTAACATGTTTGATGCAGGACTTGAGAAGTAACAGCGGTGTGTTAAGCCGCACCGTAAGTATTGGCTCAAAGCAGAGTGATACTGAGCGGCATGTCAGATTTGCCGAGCCTGCATACTCATTTGTTGGAATGCATTGCATCTTTGACAACTGCAAAGCCTCAGGTTTTTTCTTATCAACCCATGGTCATGCCATGTGTTTCTTCTCTTTCTGCGATCAAGTGTTTTTGTCTGATTGATTTGGTTAGTATACTAGTCTTCTCATTAATGACTGATTTTATTCTTGGCAGTTACGATACTGAAATTTGGCCGTGCAAGTTCCGACCTGCTTGCATATGGTGCAGCAGATGGCAGCTTGACAGTCTGCCAGGTTTCTGAGCCACCATCTGTTCTTCAAAAAATGATAGGGCATTCTAAAAATATCACAGGTTAGACTACACATAATTTTGCTAGTAAAGCTATTCTTTTGTATCTACCTTCATTTGTCACAATGAAAGTCAACAAAGAGTTGCTACATATTACCAAGATTTTCCCTCCTATTTCAGAAAATCACTAGTTCTGTTAAAGTTGATTTCCAAGTATCAATAATAACTGCTGTTCTGGTCATGAGGAAACTCGCGTATTGCTGAGCATATACATATTTTTTCTTGAACGCTGAGCATATAAATTGGTTTACAGAAGTAATACATTTGCTAATTGAATGTGGGTTTTGCCATAACTAGAAAAAGTAGAAGATATGGAAACTTTTCTATAATTTTTTCTTGAACTGTGCAGGAGAACTACATGTCATTTCATTAATAAGAAGATAGAAATACAAAGGAAAAGGCGAAGTGCCTTTTCGAGACCCCCCAAAAACAACACACAAACAGTGACATAGAAATGCACCACACAAAACAAAAAACCGACCACCAACAGCCCCTCAATTAAATAAAAGGTTTAGTTGGATCAAGGGAAGTGACCTCGAAAGCAACTCTTGGAGCGCTAAAGCACCAGCAGAACACCATAGGCTGCTCTCATACACAATAGCCTGCAGGACAGCTTCTAATCTCAGCCTTGCTCCTTCAAAAACACAAGCATTCCAATGCTTCCAAAGTCCCCAAGCAACTAAGATAATTAGAGAATTAAGGCCTTCTCTCACTTCCTTAGGAACCCCTTTGCAGCACTGCACACCAGCTAGAAAATATAGTTGCATCTGGGCTTGGCACAAGGTTGGCCATGCTGAGTTTATGAAGAATCATGGTTCAGACTTGCCGTGAGAAAACACAAAAGATAAGAACATGCTATATCATTCATTTCATCGGCTTGGTCACAAGCAGACTGGCAGCAGGATGAGGAAGTCCGCACTCGGTCGAAATACATTAGAAATGATCAATTCAAACTTCAGTTTCCTATCTATTCCTTCATTACTTATCTAGTTATCTTGTGCCTCGTGATTTTCAAATTCTGACCACATTACAGATTTTGATTTTTCATCTAATAACCAGTACATAGCTTCATGCTCTCTGGATAAAACTGTACGAGTATGGGAAATCTCTAAAGGCACATGCATCAGGGTCGTCTATGGAGTTTCTTCCCAGCTATGTATCTGTTTTCATCCTGTAAGTTCCAACTTAGCATAATTTACAATTTCTTTCTAACCCTTTACTTATTTCATTGGTGCTATCCCCCTATACCTCTGCTGCTAATATTTCTTTGTATGGGAATCATTATGAGTTCTCTTATGGACTGCTTTGTTGCAGGTGAACAATAATTTGCTTTTAGTTGGCAATGCAAACAAGGAAATCAATGTAAACTTCTTCGCCTTTTGCTCCTGAAGTCCAAAATTTATATACTGTTATTCTCTGTCAATATGTTTCTTGTTGCTTGTTGCTTGTGCCTCTTATCTAATATCCGTGGGTCAATAACAGTGGAAAACAAAGTATCTGTCTTCTGCTATTTCTTTTGATATGGATGATGTACTCTACTGTGTAATTGGTTAACAAAAATCATGTAAAACTGTGACCAGCACTTTTTTCCTTGCCCCCATTTGTTTTTCCCACCTTGTGATCCATTTATCTCTGTAAACTAGGCAATAAATTTTAGCACTGGGAGAGTAATCAGCAAACTTAACTTTGATGATGCGGTTACAGCTTTGGATATTGATCACACTGGGCAGTTTATTTTCGCTGGTGATGCACAGGTATCCAATAATTGAACTTGTTTAACTTGACATGATATATGCTGTTCATATTTTTGAAATGGTTCTTGAAATGCAGGGTTACATATATACTGTTAGTGTGAACTCACATACAGGGTCATTATCTAGAACTCACAAGAACAAAAGTAATAAGAGCAAATCTCCTATTACGACAATCCAGTATCGGACCTTCTCTCTGGTGGCGCGCTGCCCAGTACTTCTTTCTTGTGCTCAAGATGGAAACCTTTCTTTCTTCAGGTGTGTTACCTTAATGATAGCTTATTATATGGTAGACTTTACATAACCATTTATATTTTTGACTTTTCAGCATCATGACAGATGCTAAGGGATACTTGACTCTCATATGCTCCCTAAAACTGGCCTCACGGCTGCAGACTATCCGTGCTTCTTTCTGTCCACTTCTTTCCCTTGAGAAAGGAGAGTTCATAGGTATGTGGGAGTTAAAACTTAAAACTGGTTCCAATGTTTGAGGCTGTTAAATACTTAAAATTTGAAGCTATTGGTGATCATGGTGTCTTATTTCTGCAATTTTCCTGCAGCTAGCACTAATTTTGGCACGCTTTATTTGCACTACTTATTATCATATATGTTTTATTATTAACACTTGTAAAGTTCCATTGTAATTAACAGAAGTACCTTGACAAGCACACGTAAAACTTGATTTTAAGTTTTCTGAACAAATGTTAATCAATATATTTAAAATGTTGAATTGGTTTTACCCCAAAAAAATGATGGATGTCTGTGAAAGATAGGTGTATCAGCTATCTTTTGTTCCATTCTTTGACTTCATGGTTTCTGGTTACACACAGCTGGATTTTTCCAAAAAAAAAAACATTGACATATTTTGTTCTGAACTTGAAGTTACTGGAAGCGAGGACGCAAATGTCTACTTCTATGATTTGGCACGCCCAAAGAACTCATGTGTGAATAAACTACAGGTATGTGATATCCTTACTGTGTTTGCCACATCTTAAACTTTTTTGTTCCACCATTAAGACACGTATGAGACCTCATGTGTATTCCTGAAGGGACATGGTTCTCCAGTAATTGGAGTTGCCTGGAATCATGGGGAGAATTTTCTGGCCTCATCTGATTCAGATGGCACAGTTATTGTATGGAAGCGATCGAAAACTAATTAGAGCGATTCCACGCCATGAAGGATGCCTTTATAGAACGAAGGGTAGATGCTGTTTGATGATTCCAACGAAGGCATTTTTTGTTTTGTTGTACATTGCACCTCCATGGTGTTGTTTGTAACATAACTACACAAGGCAAGGGCAAAGATCAACCGGCCTTGATTGTATTTACTGTAGTATAGGTCTCCATGTAGAGTGTAAAGCATTTGTGGCGGTATATCCTTTGTCATTTGTTTTAGGACTGTATCTTTGTATCATTCATGATTTTGTCCTCCAAATATACTCGGTTAGGATTAACAGGTACAGTGCATTACATTATATATTTACTTTCCAATCCAAAACTCATGAGTCGGATTGGAGTTGTCTAGTTCTGTGAGATCAACAGAATTTTCATTTCGTTCCGAGAAAAATGAGCGTCAGGCCTGTTGGGTGAGGTACAGTGAGGTGCAGGGCGTGTTTATCTGATTATTGACGCATCGTATTGTTGACGCGGTTGGGCCAGATGGTGGGCTTAGTCCAAAACACCCTTGTCTCGCCTTAGAATGAATCCCCTAGTTGCGTAGAAAAAAATCCATCTAACCTCCCTGAACTATCGGCCTGGTCTAATTCTACAGTAAATAGTAAAAATAGATATCCTTACTACCTTCCGCATTCTTAATTATAAAAATGTATGCCCTTACTACCTTTTGCACTCTTAATTGTAAAAATAGATATCCTTGCTACCTCAACTACTCTCTCTCTCTCCTTGAATAAATCAACTTCTAGAGTTGTTCGAAGTTAAACTTTAATTTTATAGAAAAAGGACTAATGTCTATGACATAAATCTATGACATAAAATTAGTTAGTTAGATAGAACATGAAACTTTAATTTTATATGAAAAGACTAATGTCTGTGACATAAACTTCTAACTAATGTTTGTTTCTATGTGTGTGTGCTATGTTGTGGTGGACAAACCATGGACACTCTCTGTATGTGCGTTGATTTCCCTCTCAGGCTTATTTGGATGTTGTCAGATTGATTGGAGTTGGATTTGGTTCAAGTTTCACTCAAATCCACATCGACACATGTAAATTGATGTGTTAAATTTTACTCCAATCCATCCCAACACATATAGATTGGATTGAGGTGAATCAGATTACATTCAAACAAGGCCTCATGGAGCATTTCACTTGTTTCCCAGAGCTTTGGGCGACAAGTAATTGGGCAGTACAGATTACAGAACCAATTGCACCTGACTCTTGTAGTGGAATAAAACCATTCTACGGTGCATTCAAAAAAAAAAACCATTCTACGGTCTACCGCGGTTCGAGCTCCGAAACCGTGACGCTGTTCTCGGAAACAGGTCCGATCGGAGAACGACGCCCATAGCTCGCTGCATTTCCGCGGGCAGCACGCCGCGCTGAGGCGCCGCTTATGGATATGGACCCGGAGCAGAACGCCGGTCTGGACGGCGTTTGCTGGATCGCCGACCGTCCGTCCAGCATCAGGACGACCTCCGACGCGTCTGGCCTGGACCTGGGGTCCTTCTGCACACACAGGAGCCCGATCTGCACGCAGGCGAGCGCCTCGGTTCTGGCGTACTGCCCGCCCAGCGACGCGTCCACGGTCTCCGCGACGGATCCGCGCCTCCACTTCTCCCAAACCTGCAGCAGAAAGATGGTATGAGCACGTTGACCATCGAGGAAGCTTTGGTTTGGTCTGACGTGACGACGTGACGTGGGGGCAGGTGCTCACGTAGCTCAGCAGATTCCTGTTGCTGCCATCTTCAACCGACGGGCTGCTGTTCCTTTGGCCGGTCACGATCTCGAGGACGATGACCCCGAAGCTGAACATGTCGGATTTGGTCGAGACGTGCCCGTAGTACGCGTACTCCGGGGACATGTACCCGCTGCATGCATGCATCAAGAGGTGCACACGTGTGTGCGTGTCGTGCTGAGTTGTAGCTACTGGAGCTTCGTTAACGAGATGGAGCTAGCTACCATGGCCTGCTACGAGAGGATACTCACAGGGTTCCAACAGGTCGTTTGGTCACCTCTCTGGACTCGTCTCCCAAGAACGCTCTGGCGAGTCCGAAATCCGAGATCTTGGGAGTCATGTCGGAACCCAGAAGGACGTTGCTGGGCTTGAGGTCCCGGTGGATGATCCGCAGCCGGGACTCCTCGTGGAGGTACAGCAGGCCGCGCGCAATCCCGCTGATGATCGTGTATCTCTTGCTCCAGTCCAGTGCTTGCTGCTGCCGTCTCCCTGCATCACACAGAGAAGGACCCCAGTGGGATGGATCCATAGTTCAGTGGGATAGCTAGCTGCCTAGCTTTAGCTTCAGCTTCAACTTCAACTTGTGTGCAGACTGCAGAGCAGTGCAGTGCAGACTGCAGAGGACCGCGCGCCTACCGAAAAGGATGGTGTCCAGGCTCCGATTTGGCAGGTACTCGTACACGATCAGCTTCTCCGTTTCCTCCAGGCAAACCCCAAGAAGCTGGACCAGGTTCCTGTGTGTCAGCTTGGCGGCGAGAATGAGCTCGTTTTTCAGCTCGTGGAAGCCTTGAGAGGAGCCCTTGGAGAGCCTTTTTACTGCAACGGCTTGTCCATCCTGAAGCCTTCCCTGCGAACTTGTAAGAGGTGCAAACTTTAGCCTTTGGCTGAGAGTTAAGGTGGAGTTAGACGGTCCTGTCTCTGAATTCTAGAACAGGACGGGAACGGGATGGCTCTATTTTCTGTTTGGTTGATAAGAGATAGGATCGATCCATTTTGTGTTTGGTTGAAGTGATAAATAAGAATATGATAGATGGTGCATTTGACACCGTTAGCTACTGTTTAATATAAACAAGATTGTTTGCTATTGTTTGATTGTACTATGCATTTTAGAAATTTTAGCCTATTTCTTGTTTAAAAGAGAAGGATAACAGAAAAATGACCATTTTTTTACCGGGGATCCTGGGGTTCTAAGGAACTAAACAGCAGCCTAAAGATATTGTGCAGAAACAGAGGCGCAGGGGCAGTCTCGATTTGGCCGGGGGATATGCCGATATGGTCACCGACGGGGCGTGGGGAGTGGAGCCACGGCCCAGCGGCGGCAGGCCGCGACCCCAGGTGGCCTTGACCTGGCCGGAGGCGGCCCGTGGCAACAGGCGGCGGCGTGGGAGATGCTCCGACATCACGTTGCCTCGCTCGCGCAGCTCGCCGTCGACTCTCCGCCTTGCCTGCACGATTTCGTCTCCGTCTCCTCGCTCGCAACGTCGTCAATCGGGGACGACCCCGTCCGTCCCCTCGATTTGGAGGGACGGGAGTCACATGAATATACTTGGGATATTCCTGAAAGGGACCGTTCCATCCTCCATCGACTCCCAACCAAAGAGCACAAAAGAGGGATCATACCACCCCATCTCAACCCATGCCACCAACCAAACACTACTTTACTTGTCACTTGTCAGGCATCAATCAGAAAAATGCTGAAGGGCTTACAAACTCAAAATTGCTGAGTTCAGACTGACAGTACCTTGAAAACTTCTCCAAAACCTCCCTCTCCCAGCTTGTTTTCCGCAGCAAAGTTACCGGTTGCCACCCTCAGCACCGGCAGGGTGAATTTCTCCGGGTGAACGTAGGTTGCGCTGCGGTCGTCCTTGGCCCTCCCCCTGGGCGGGGCCCGGGAGTATGGCACATCCGGTGGACGATTTCTCTCGTTTACACCTCTTCTCCTTCGCAAGTAGACACCAGTAGTACACACGAACGCGAGGAGTATGGTTCCAAGTGGAACGACGACGGCAAGGATGATGGTGTTTCTTGGTCTCCCCGTTCCTGCATGTTTGCCGGCGATCAGGATCAGCATTAATGATGGGTGCAGTGCAGCGCAGTCAGACACATCAGTCAATGCCCACAGCTTGACGCGAACGCGACGCGGGGAGAGGTACGCGTGACTGGCCCATTTCGTTTTACCAAATTTTTTAAGATTTCCCATTACATCGAATCTTTAGACGCATGCATGAAACATTAAATATAAATAAAAAATAAAACTAATTACACAGTTTAGACGAAATCCACGAGACGAATCTTTTAAGCCTAATTAGACTATGATTGGACACTAATTACCAAATAACAACGAAAATGCTACCGTGCTCATTTTGCAAAAAAATTTGCATCTAAACTGGGCCTGGGTCGCCATTCGCCGAGGAGCAACGTGGTGAACTGCGGCACACATGTACTGACACGGAAAGGTTTGACATGCGTGACTGGGTCAGCTACGACCGCTCATGCTGTTTTGTCGCATCATCGGACGGGGCCGTGGCGGTTCTGACGGGCAATGGACAGAAAGTCAAGCGTCAACACATCCAGAGTTCACACACTCACCGTTTGTTTCCCCAGCGGGCGTCGGCGACGGCGGTTCAGCAGCTGAAGGCGGCGCGTCGAGCGCCAGGTCGTAGTAGGTGTACACCTGGATCCGCAGGAAGCAGTTGTAGGCCAGCACGACGCCTCCCTGATTCCCCTTGCAGCACGGCAGCTGCGGTACCGAGGCCTGCAGGCAACGGTGGCAGTCCGCCGCCGTGATGTCCCTCATGCACTGCACCATCCCGTACATGGTACCGTTGGGATCGTCGCTGGCGTACTGCGCCTCCCCGGTTGCGAAGAACTGCCTCGCCGTCGTCCCTGCCTCGCCGCCGCCGCCACCCACGCCCACCGCGCGCGCCGCCAGGTTCCTCATCAGCGCGCCGTACGCCTTCAAGTAGGCGTCCGGTTCGGCTACCAGGCGCGTGTCGTAGAGGACCATGCAGAAGTCGTCCTCGCGGGGGGTCGAGGCGTTGGTGTCGGCGTAGGAGACGTAGACGTCCAGCCACACGGCGGCGCGGCGGCTGCTGGGGCAGCTCCCGCCGAGGGTGCGCACGGCCTCCTGCAGGTCCGCGAGGCACCGGGGAGACTGGAAGTCCCCACGGCAGAGGCCCCGGACGAAGGCGCGGTCGCGGCCGGCCCCGAGGGAGAGGGACGCGAACCCCGTGGGCGCCGCGGCGCGCGGGAGAGCGCTCAGGAGCGTGAGCAGGTTCGCGCGGAACGGCGCGTTGCTGCTGCTGCCGTTGAAGGGCGGCGATAGTGGTGAGGGGGAAGGGGAGGACGAAGGAGGAGGCGACGGCGAGGCGTCGCCGCAATCCACCCATGCGGCCACCTGCAAGACGGCGGCGCCTGCGGTGAGGAGGACGAGGAGGCGGAGAAGAGATGGCGTGGCCATGGTGGTTGAGCTCTGCAACGAGTACTGTGGGAGGGTTTTACTTCATCTCAGCGTGCTTGGGGAGATCACGAGGGAAAAAAATTCCCTGCAGCGCGTCCGTAGACTCCATCAGCTACATACATATCCTCAGCGTGCGACGCGTGGACGCTCACGAGGGACGGATGCTCGGCTTGGCTTCGTCAACTCTTCGGCTCTTAATGTACTTCGGCTATTAGCAGAGATGTTCCCACAAGGAAACGGGAACCTGGAACTAGAACGAGAACTTGGGGTGTTACTTCCGGAACGACGTTTCTGGGACGAAGAACGTGGGCATGTTCCATGTTTTTGGCTACTAAGCTTCGGTTCCTCCCATGCTACGTTGAGCTCGGCAGTCGGCTTGGCTCCATCCTAAGTAATCTCGGTTCCATGGTCCACGTCAGCTTGCTCATCACACACGTCACGATTAGATCTTGCCAACCGCCGGTGCTAGACCTTGCGCCACCATCTCCATGGACGACGCAGCCGGCATGACAGGAGAAGGAGGCCAGGAAGGTGCTAGTCCTTGCGCCGTCGTCTCCATGGACGACGCAGCCGGCATGACACGAGGAGGCCAGGAAGGTGCTAGTCCTTGCGCCGCCATCTTCGTGGATGACGCAGCCGGCATGGTAGTAGAAGGAGGTCAGGAAGAGAATTTGTCACCATCCCATGATAACACAGTCGTCCATGGTTTCTCCCTCTGCTGTAGCGCACAACATGGCCGGAGAACAGTTGCTCTCACTCGCGCAAGATGATGACGGCGCGATCAAAGCTGTTTGTGGAGTCAACTGAGAGCAGATAATAATGCAGGTATGGTCATCATTTGGTCTTCGATCTTCCTCTTCTATCTTTTGTGTAGTTTCATCATGTGTAAATGTGTGCATATTATACTGTACAGAACACTGCTGTTGCTATCGACAATAACACTCATGTTTATATGACAACGCACTCCGTCATGTAGTACATGAAGAAGTGATAGACAGAGTACCAGATAAGGTAACACTCTTTTTTTTTTCTCTGAATAGGATTAATAAAATTATAAATACATTGTGGCAATATAGCTTTAATTCTCATTCGATTGCACAACAGGTGGTTGATTAAAGTTGGAATAATTCCTGAAGTTGGTATGACTTTCGAATCAGGTCAAAACTTATGAGATGTATAATGCCTATGCCGGTACTGCTGGGTTCAGTATAAGAAAGAGCCACACAAGGCGTCGAGGACATGGTAGTAGTATATGTCAAAAATATATTGTTTGTATAGTAGCCAAGGACATGGAGAAAATCAGACATCAAAGGACAATACAAGGACAATACAAGGACATGTTGTAATGTACGTGTTCAGTTTAGTGTCAGCAGAGAGCGAGGGGACTTGGACAGTGCAAAATATTATACTTTTGATAAGCCAATAACACTAAAGAACGGTGTCCCACAGCAAAATTTGTCTTTATTCTATTGATGAGTGATAACCTACTATGATAATGTGATTCCTGGGAAAAGCTTTTGCTTATGAACTAATTTGTCTTTAGTACCCGTGAATTTAGAACCTAGATGTCATTTCTTAAATTTATGTACATGTATATTTATGAAAAATTGAGAAGCAGGCACTTGATGTAATACTTCTTTACATGCATAAATTTGTATTACTTGCTAGAATACTTGATGCAATACTTCTATGCGTAGCATTGCATCTTCATTTTTAACATTTCCACTTCTCAAGGGATCGCCGCAATAAGTTGCTAACTTTTTGACATGTACATTGACATTGTAAGGCACTTGACGAGGACATGACACCATCGGATACGACCATTGATTATAAGGTGAGCTCGTTCCTACATTTGCATAGTGATTTTTGGTACAATTCACTTGGTTCCACATGTACATTTCATTATTTGCTTGTAGGAACAAATGTGTCTCAAAGTGCAAGTCCATCAAAGTTGAACTTTCAATTCATCGATGGCCCGACAATACTTCATTGGGAAGGCCATAACTCCTCCATCCGGAGTGCGATCAAGGTCAATGAGCACATGATGGAAAGCTTGTTTGATAAGCCTTCAAATAGATCTGGTTCCACCTCAATATCACATCGGCAAGGCCTCTAAATCATCAACATATTCTGTCTCTGTTTCTGCCAAGAGCTACATCATCGTCATGGGCTTGTTATTCATCCTTGGGACCTTGGCCCAAGTGGGAGCACGCCCAAGGAGATGGAGAACTCAACAAGGAAGCTCTTAGACATCCTCCTCCTTGGCCACCTCCTTAGGAGGCTAGCAAGGGCGTCCAAGCCAAGCTGGAGGCCCAGTCCAACTCGAATTTGAGTCTGCCTCGGCCTTCAAGACCAGTCTGCAATAAAACGGATGCACAGGACGCATTCGAACTCCGTTTTCGATGATCCACATATGGATGGAAAGATAATTTCATAATCTAACCAATGTCTTTGGTTTGAGGCCCAAATTCCACCAGAGTCGAGTCATTTGTTTTGGTCGAAACAAATCAGCGTCCAGAATATGTCAAGTGTTGCGCCACCGCTTTTGGTCCATTGGGCCATGTATTGTCTTTGAGCCCATTAGGGGGGCGCGTCCAAGGGGAGCGACGACCCTTAGATCTTATATTCAGCTGTAGTTGCCATCATGAGGGTTTGGGTTTTGCTTTAGATCAATCTATCATTGAGCAGTCGTCGTTATAGGTTTGCAAGACCTCAACTTCAAGTGCTTAATCATTCATCTGCAATTATCACTTCAATTGAGTTGCATTTTACCTTGTTCTTGCTTGTGTTCTTCGATTCGTAGCAGGGATTAGCCTTTTTGGCGAGGTCAACTGGATTGTGACACGGTTGATAACCAGAGGAGACGTGGTGCTAAGGTTGCAGGGTTCAGGTCTTTGTGATCTGAAGCCGGATCGGTGTGTCGCTTTCCGCCCAAATCGATAGTATCTTGAACTTGACGGAAGATCGGGAACCCCGTCCCCATTAGCACTGGTTTGAGGTGTGCTAACTCGCAAGATGAAGGTGGAGAATACCAATGTTGAGTCTGGAAATGTTAAGAGTTGATGCATGGAATTCATACCATCATGCATGATGAATGGACTTGTAACATTCTTATGGATATGTTTGTAAGGCAATACCATGGTTGGGATCCATAATAAAATTCTTATATGCATGTTATCGTGTGTTAATTAATTTAGTGACTAGAATTTTAGAGTTTATTGGTTAGGGCAATCATTTTTTTTGTTGGCAATATGCATTTCCTTGGGGGTTGGTCTCCAAGAAAATAACAATTACCTTGGCGGTTAATAATAGACAAGGAAATCCATAATTCTTTTGAGGTGAAGGCAACCAATGAAACAAAGATTATCTTAGTGGTCTGGAATTCTTTGGAGATTACTAGCCCACAAGGAAAATAAAATATTTGACGATTGGAACATTACTTTGACACGTTGATAAAATTAGTCATCGCCTTAGTTTTTTTTGCGGACAACCTCCACGAAAATAATTCTTGAGGGCCAAAACCGCCAATGAAGTGGATTTCCCTATTACTCTTGCCTTGGCAGATTTTGTTTGACGACTCTTGGATAGATTTATTCCCTAGCCGGTTTTGGGTATTTCCTTGGCGAGTTTTGTCCCTTAAGGTAATTCAGGTTTATGGTAATGGTCGGCCGATAGTGCCCCCCCTTCCCCGCCTCCAAGTATTTTCTGAATTCAGGTATACAACTTGTGGAATTCATTAGATTAAATCCCTGGAGATAGGATGTTTATTAAGTTAAATATGGAAGCCATATTTTTTATACTATATTGGTAGTCGGATTAGTAAGTTAAGGACTGTTAACAAGCTCTCTCGTACTTAGATCTTTGCTCGTTCCAAGTAGAGGATATGAATTAAGGACAAAGGATTGAGCAAAAACTAATGTGGGGGCTTGGAGTGGCTGCGATGCTTGACTTTGGCGATTGAGTGATGGAACAACTCGAATGACGATATGACTCGCCTCCTTTTTTCAATTTTTGCTCATAGTAGTTGATAAATTTTCTAAAAGGAAATCCTAGCTCATCATGCTCCTCAAATGGTACTCTCTTATCTCTCAAGTGATTTATGTATGTCCCCACCAGGACCAATGGCCTTTCTCTTTCCCGACAAACTATAGGATTTTGTGGGGCTCAAGTAGAGATAAAAGAAGGCACAACCTATGGCATATATGGTCCTAGTGAAGGTCATGACACTTCTCAAGCCGATCACTGGAAGTATGGATATATGATGGAGAGATATATAATGTATTCACATTGAATGATATGTGATTCATCATACCAAACCAATGTGGTTAGGCAGAATATGGTCTTGAATGAAGCTTCTTATTTGATGGATCCATGCTTAGAAATCTCATTTAAACTCTTGAGGTCACGGAGCTATATATATTATATATTTTTTCTATATTAAGGCATTCATGTGTCCATTTTTTCATTTTTTACTTGGACCTTTATGTGTCTAACATTTTTTATAGCTCCATGTCTCCATATTATCAAGAATTTGAGGAGGATTCACAAAATGATGAATGGAGTATTTATTTTGAAAGACTAATTGCTAGGATAAGTGAAACGAATATGGATTTAGGTTAGTGGAGGAATGTCTGATAAAGAGCATGCTTAAATTCAATGAGAACTTTGTCATAGTTAGACATAGAATAGGCTAGCAATCAAAGGCAAACATGAAGGAGATAGATTGATTTTTGTAGTACACTACTTCATAAGGTCTCCAAATTTGACTAAACTCAAAACAACAAAAGGTAGCATATGTAGAGGTTTCATCGTGCAGAGCATTTGGCTCTAGGACATATAAACCATTGAGGAGAAGTAAATTTAAGGGTTTAACATTTTGCTCAAAATAAAAATATCTAAGCAACACTTAATCAAGAGGGGATGAAATACTTCTATCTTTCCATATCTCATCTCACAACAACTTAATCAACATCTTCCTATTTGAGAATTGTCCCACAAGAATCAAGAACCAATCAACAATAAAACTTATGCAAGCCAACCATGTAAGAAACAAGGTTGTACTCGTTACATCATGATTAAATTGATGAAATTCTAAGGACCAACTTCAGATTAAGTTACACATTTTTTTCTTGAGGAATGAAGCCAGCATAAAGGTTATCTCAAATCACTCCTTATATATACTATGGGATTTGAATTGATCACAATTACAACATCGTCTTAGGCCAAATAGGGCTGTTTACACAAGTCTAAGTAGGGCCAACAAACTAAACATACAACATATTCCTGCCAGGCTGCCACGAGACAGGTTAGCCCGGGCCAGGCCATGGTTCTAACCGGGCAACCAAGGAGGAGGGGGGACTGCTGGATCCAACGGACAGAAATGCTCGACTGCTACATCCGACGGATACGTATTCGCGTGACGGCAACCAGAGAAACAAACAAGCGTACATTAGCTTTTTTTTCCCAATCCAATTCCAATCCCAAAAAACGAGGGTCAAATCCTCCTTCCGGGAATTCGCCTCGCTCGGCTCCCCAGGGTCCAGCAGCGGGCAGCAACAGCCTTCGTCCTCCTCTCCGGGCCGCGGCCTCTTCCTCGTGTCCGGCGCCGCCCTGCTTTCTTCTCTTCTGCTGATGATGGAACTGGATCCTCGCCTCTACGAGAACGTCGTACGTTCACTCTCCACGCGCTGCCTTCTTCGGTCGAGGGTGCAATTATTTTGTTTTCCTTAATTGGGCAGACGCCCTCATTATATAGGGATTAGATTTGTTCTTCTTGGCGTGGGAATTTATTGTCCTCTGTGTTCATCTGCTGTATATGAGGGTGAATGGGTTACTTGATTATGTTTCGGAGCTACGGGTTACCTTGGTTTTTTTAGTGTTTGGACTTGTGGATGCGCTCGTGTTAGGGTTTCCAAATTAGATTGGGAGTCTTCAGTAGCTGGCTTCCAGTGGGAAAAGATAAGTATTGTGGTTGCGTGGTTTTGTAATGAAGAGAAGTTTGAAGCTGTCATTGAGGTAGGTTGGGAACTTGGGATCCACCAGCAGAGTCTTAAGGGGCAATTCTGCCTCATGGCATGGGGGCGGCAAGCTCAGTTGGTGTTTAGTGGGTAACTATATTGGGAGCAATGCTGCAGGCAACCCAATTGTTGGACAATGTAGCCCAAATAGCTGAACCACTTCACAAATCTTGTTCTTTTTTAAGGAAGGAGTGGAGTTAGGTCAATTGTTATTCCTTTGTGGCAAAGAAGACAAAAGAGCCTAATCACCAAGGCTGATGAGCCATATCATATTACTGGTATTTTTTTCCCCACAATCAACAAATCTTTATGGCTTCCAAAGCTGGCCAAACACCTGTGCCAAATGTCTTATCTGAATTGTGTTGCTGGCCTAAAATTGAGCATTGGTCCATGTCACCTGCTCATGGATGTCCTTGCATTTGTTTATCTTTTCCAGCACCATAATATGATTCATCCACACCACCTTTTCCCAATCTGTCACCGTACTAGTTTGCATTACCTCAAAGTCACTACCACTTTCATCCTATGTCACTCAACGTGTGGCTCATATGGGCATATGGGTCTGCCCTTAGTGTTGGTCCAACCATGTATATTTATGGCATAGCCATGCTCTACGCCAACTGTACCAACAGCTTCATGTTCTACCCTTTGTCGTCCTTTTCAATTAAGGGGATTAATTACTACTGCCTTTTGCTGGATAACTGGATTAATGCAAACTATACCATCGTCTTTGTTAAGCTGTAGTATGCTATTGACATAAATTTCTCCCTGCTGCAGTCTGTCAGCGACAACGATGTCCGAAACATAGTTCTATCTTATCTTATGCACAACTGTTTTAAAGAGACGGCAGAGACATTCCTATCTAGCACTGGGTTGAAGTTACCTGTCGACTATACGGTGGATGTGGATAAGCGTAAAGGTATTTATTTACAGGTCAATACTGAATCTTTTCCACATTATGTTTTGGGGTGCGCTTTACTTGTCATATTGCATCTTGAAAACTATAAAACTGAAAAAGAAACTAAAGGCCAACTTACTAAACTAACATGAACGTGGAAAAAAAGAGGAAAGAAAAGAAAATTACGAACATTCCATCCAAAGCTAAAACTAGAAGTGAACCCATTATTAAGTGTGAATGCTCATTTCATCTTTGAAGAGGTACACCAGCAGTTAAAGGAGGGTCTAATCCTATAAAAAAATCTGAGCATTTCTTTTAGATCTTCATATTCCTTTGTACCCTTCTGTTTATGGTTTTGAAGTTAATGGTAGATGTTTAGTAGTATTATGATCACTTGTATGTGTGCTTGGAAGAAAAAATATTATCACTTCACTACGGTTATTATTGTCAAACAGTAATTCATCCAATTGAAATGATCTTGCCTAATTAACCACTGGAGCCATCTCCATTCAATATAGGATTATAGTTTACCGATATTCATTGCATTTTATCACTGACGCTAGTGATTGGATCTGATCTGTTGCACACCAGTGCAAAATGCCAGTTCTGTTCAAATTTTACCAGAATAATAGAACTGTATTGAACGAACAAAAGTGGTTTATAAATTTTAATCTTTTGCTAATGTTCATTCAATAGGTAAGGTTGTCCTGTGTTCCTTGCAAAGACCTGAGTAATGGGTGATTCATACATATAATATTCTTGCATTTTTTTTCAATTTTTCCTGGCCATTTTTTTTTATCTCAGCATATAATTAACTGCTTTTTTTTTAAACTTTAAAATTAATTGGCAAATCGTGACATAATGCTTCCTTGCACTGTCTGCGCTGCTCGAGGATTCGTTCACGCCAGGCCATGCCAAGCTGTTATAGAGGGGAGTAAATGATGGCGCAAGGTGAGACTCGGTACATGATCGTGTCGGAGATACCGGAAGCACCATTTTCTGCTTGCAGGAAACCAAGGCTTCATGGGAGGATGTCTGGGCGTTTGGCTGTTGTTCACCATGGGAAGCCGGAGCTGCTTTTTGCTGCTTGTGATCAGCTCGGCAATGAGGACACGTGGTGGGCGTCGTTTGGTTTGGTGTGTTACCTCTGTGTGTTAGTCGTCAGGGCTATCGTGTTCTGGTGCTGTGGGTATTTCCTGTGTTCTAATCTTTGCCTCTGTAAGGTTTTCAGGCCTAGTTTCCCTTATAAACTAGGCCAATTCTATTCTTCTTAATTGAAAGGCAGAGCTCCTGCCATTACTTTCAAAAAGGATATTATATGCATTAGCTGTGATTCAAATGGATATTTGATGTCTTCCATTTAATTCATCGTAGGTCATGAATGCATAAAATCACAAAAGTTTGAAAATTGAGTATTTATATCCCCAGTTATCTGATGATGGCATTGTTTGTTTCTAATAGCCTTGATTTCCTTTCAGCAATTTTTAATTTTGTGCTAGAAGGGAATGCCCTTAAGGCCATAGAGCTGACAGAAGAAATGGCACCTAACTTGCTAGAGAATGATATGGATCAACATTTTGATCTTCTAAGTCTCCACTTCATTGAGCTAGTTCGTTCCAGAAAATGGTGAGTTTGCGAAATTTAATTAGGAGGGAAAGCTGTTTTTACATTCTTTTATTAACCTGGCTATTTTGGCTGACAGCACAGAAGCTCTTGAGTTTGGCCAGAAAAAATTGACATCATTTGGGAAGGTTCCCAAGTATGTTGAGAAACTAGAGGTACTTTTTCCTTAAACCTACATGTCTTAGGACCCTTCTGCCAGTTAAAACGAATTTTATTTTAACATAGAAGACCAATGGATTGATTACTTGTTTCAGATGTTTAATTGCTACTATTATTATGGAAGGATATTAAAATCCATGTTTTCATTGTATAGGACTTTATGGCCCTCCTGGCTTATGAAGAGCCTGAGAAGTCACCTATGTTTCATCTACTAAGCCCAGAGCACAGGCAGAATGTTGCAGATAGCTTGAATCGGGCTGTCCTTGGTATGCTATAGATATCATGTTTAGCTCTTGCCATCATAAGTTATTTCCCATGATCTGATTGATCTTCCTCTATGATTAACGATAGCACATGCTAATCTTCCGGCATATTCATCGTTGGAGAGAGTGGTGCAGCAAGCGACTGTGGTTAGACAATACCTACAGCAGGAAGTTGGCAAGGTAAACATTGCAAAGTACTTGTCAGCAAATCGTTCAGTATCATATCTTGTTAGTTTTCACTTGTAGTTTGTGCTCATTGTGTAATGTCCTCTGGTGATCTATATGATGTTCAATGAGAGGGCTGCTTACATATCTTTTTGTTCTCAGAAGTTCTCCCTGCTCACCAGTCCACTTGAATTCAAAATTTAGTTTTGGTATTCTACATCTTGCTGCATACATGACATTTGGAACTCTTCGAGCAGGATTCTTACCCACCATTTTCTTTGAAGGCCTTTCTGAGCAAGTAAAAGCGCAAATGGTCAATTCTTCAGAAAGGGTACCACCTCTGCAGGCCATTAGCCACATGTACCCTTACGGAGTGCATAAACGATGAAGCAGTTTATACAATTCACAGAAACGTGTTCTTGGCACCACTTATACAGTTGCAATGGTGTGGTACTTTGAAAGGAGGATACTGTATGTGGTCTGCTTCCTTGATTTACATTCTGTTTCACGTGTCTCTCTGCCTTAGACATGGCAAAAGCATGTACATATGACCTGTTGAGCTATTCTGTGCTTTCGTTCTGTGAGCTCAGTTCGATTCGGTTTGCTGTGTGGTATGGGTTGTAATTGGTCTACCGCATGTCCGCATATGCAGGCTGTGCAGAGGCTAGGGGTAGTCCGAACTCTGAATGGATGCGTTTGTAACGGTTATTCGGTCGATGGTATTTGCGATGAAATCAGTAAAGCTGTGGATCTTAAACGAACTACAAACATGCATCAATTCACATACTACTCTGATACTACATCCTTTATAAATTCTAAATTATAGCTCACTTTGGCTTTATTCTAAGTTAAATTTATTTTAACTTTTATCATATTTATACATAAATTTTCAAACATCTTGAACATCAAATTAGTTTTATTCAATTCTTCATCAAATATATGTTAACAAAGTATTTATTTAACTTGTAGATGTTGATAAAAAAAACACTTAGGGTCCGTTTGGATCCTTGGCATTGAATTTATTCTAATAATTATAATTTAGACATAGATTAATTAAGCTAATATAGTTGTATATAAAATATATTTGTATATTTATTGTTAGGCATACAAGAGACATACTTATATGTTGCATTTCTATTGTAGAAATGTGAGTTGAAGAGTGTGCTATAAGTTGGACAGTAGAATTATAGCATAGTGATCTCTAGAATCCATTTCCATCTTCCACCCTATAAATTTGAAATATGCTTATTTGTGAGCTTGAAAAAGTTATGGAATGTCAAATTCTAAGCTAAATAGCCTAATCCATTAAGTAGATTTTAATTCTTACAAAATGAAGAGATCCAAACCGCCCCTTAGAGAAGTTTGAATCAAAGTCAACTCTAATTTGCAACTGGGAATCAAAGTCAACTATAGTTTGGAACTGGGAGAGTAGCGCTCAATAGGCATTGGAGATTGGACACTCGCTATTAACATCATTAGTGTGGCCTTGCTGGCAGTGAAGCCTGATTCAAGCTTCGATCATATGGCCTACGAATAACCTTTTTCATCGACTTTTCCAAAACTATATTTGAAATGTTTGTTAAATTTGGAATCTGTAGTGATAATAAATACTAAAAATTCCAAAACAAATTCCCCTCATCTCGAATGATCCCTTAACCTTTCTGTACTGCCTTGCTCACCATTTTCAGTGTAATTAAAGCCCGAATTTCGAAAAGAGAACTACATGTTGGGGGAAACAGAATAAAGGGGTGCGGCGGGCTGCTTTGGCTGTGCGTCGCGAACTTGAACGCCAGGACAGCACTGATGCAAAGTTGGTGGTAAAAGTGAGATCTGACTATCTGAGAGCGAGCGGTGGCAAACAGATTGCCACTTGTGACGGCGGCAGTGAATGAACCCAAGAGATTTCAGCGATCACCGATGTCAGCGAATCGAGTTCTTCGGTAGCTTTCAGGTTTCTTCAACCGTTAGTGCTGCTGCCAGCTTGTGAAATTGTGACGGCTCCGTGTCCGTGCCTGCTCTTTTTCTGGGGACTCTGTTCTGCGTGTTCCTCTATAAATAGACGGATGACTTGTTCCTGGTCTTCCTGGTAAGCTCATCATCAGCCATCACTACGAACCACTTGGTACAGTGTTAATTCTCTCGGTCAGGTGTTTGGGCTCTGTTTCGACAGCGGCACATGGTACCACCTCCTCCCTGTTTCTTGGACGATTAGACTGTTTTTACCTGTATGCATGTTTTGTTAGCCGTTCATATGCTGAAAACAAGTGAAGGAAGGTCCTTTGATGTAATCTGTTGGTCGGGAAGAGCTTTTGCATATCTGTACTATCTGGATTGCTTAAATTTCGAATGAGTCAATTGGCTATTGCTTATGGGATCAACTTGACATCTTATACTTATATATAAAATATGAAAAATCTATCCAAAAGTTTTCTATTGCTCCACCAGACCATAGTTGGATCGCAATGTTTGGGAGAAGTCAGACCATAGATCTTACATATTTGTTCAACATTGACAAGGCAAGCGTGCTAAAAGCATTCCTGTCCTTTCATCTAATTTTGGTTAGAAGAGTAGCATATATTGATTAGAGTGATCAAGGATGGCACAATATTTTTGCTCTGATGATGCATCATGAGCTGAACATTCTGATTTTAGATACCCCTTATCTTTCGATGCAAATCTCAACGTGTTTGTGTTCAACAGAACTTCAGAGGTTCATCCGGGAAGAATTCAATGACGGTCGGGCCATGGGGAGGTCTAGGAGGAGATCCATGGGACGATGGTGTTAACTCCGCAGTGCGCCAGATCATCATCAGTCATGGTGCGGCCATTGATTCCATACAGTTCGAGTATGACCTGAGAGGAGGCTTAGTCTGGTCAGAGAAGCATGGGACTAGTGGTGGAGGCTCAAAAACTGATCAGGTTCGGTTGACTAGTTTCCTATTACTATTAGGCTGCTGTGATATTTGAAGCCTATACATATAAATAATAGCACTTATTATATATAATATAAGATAAGATGGAAGTACTGTCAAATATCTACTTGCACAAGTTGGTACAGTGAACTCTGTTGTTTGGATATTTGACAGTGATATAAAACATTTGAGGTGCAAACAAGCTGCAATTGGTTTTGTGGAAGAGTAGATATGCATTCAGTTTTCTTATGGTGTGCTAATAAAATATACCTTCGTTTTTGACAGTTAGACAAAACTAATCTTTGATTGGACAGTTCTTGCAATTCGGTCAATAGTTGAGCACACCATGTTAGTTTTACTGAATACTGATACAATGTTACAGTAATGCTACCATTAAAAATGTGTACGTTTCCAACAGGTGAAACTTAATTACCCTGAGGAAGTTCTCACATCTATCAGTGGCTGCTATGGTGCGGTGGGAGCTTCAGTTGTCATTAGATCACTTACCTTTGAGAGCAACTGCTCCAAGTACGGGCCTTTTGGCACCGAGCAAGGGACATCCTTCTCACTCCCGGTGTTCAGCGGCAAAATCGTCGGCTTTCACGGCCGATCTGGAACATGCCTCCACTCCATAGGCTGCCATATGAACAAAGAGAACACAACTAAGCTGTCAAAAAATGCGCCATCTGCGCTTCGGAGCATCACAAGATCTTATGACAGGAACGGTCACAGGTATGCAGATAGCAGTGCTGGGTATGACATGGTTCTTGCAGTGAAGGACAGAGGTGACAACTACAATGTCCTGACCAGCAGTCTTCCAAAGGAGCAGTATCCTAATCCATCTCAGATGAGCAAGGTATCACCAACAGTGCATTTTTTTTTTTTTTGAAATGGCTCCAATTCCTAGGATATTCATTTTCTAGTTATAGAAATTGTAGCAACAGAAGCCATATTCAGATTGTGAATTTTACACTGCAGATGGTATCGATTCCTAGTTTCTACTCGGATAATGGGACCATGACTATAAGCACTCCAGTGAGATTTGGTCCCTGGGGTGGAAACAGTGGTACCATATTTGATGATGGAATATACACCGGTGTCCGGCAAATCAATTTAACGCGGGGACTAGGGATATCTTCCATGAAGGTTCTCTATGATCGCAACGGACAGGCCATATGGGGTGACAAGCGTGGAGTCAGTGGGGGTGCTAGACCTGAAAAGGTGATGCAGTTTCAGCGTCAGTGTTATTTGGTTCTCAGTTACATATCAACACTAGTGCTAGTACATGATAACATGGTAATTTTGTTTGGCAGGTTGTATTCGATTTTCCATCAGAGATCTTGACTCATATAACCGGTTACTTTGGCTCGACGATGATCATGGGCCCGACGGTGATCAAGTCACTCACATTCCACACAACAAAGAAGAGCCATGGACCATTTGGGGATGAACATGGCACCTTCTTCTCCAGCTGTTTGACTGATGGAAGGATAGTAGGATTTCATGGCAGGGCAGGGTGGTACATCGACAGCATTGGAGTTCATGTTCTGGAAGGGAAGGTGTTGTCACAGAGAGTTGACACAGAACTGACCGATGCAAGCCAGTCTCGACAGTCTGACATGCTTGCACTAGCACGAAGGGAAATCGGAGACGAGGTAACCAATTCCATGAACTGGGGATGCTAATGCAAGCAGTGTGTTAGCACTGATATTATATGACAAAAAATGTGTTTGGATCTTATTAATTCTGCTGCAGGTTACCTACGGTGTGGTGAAAGAACCCATACCAATAGGTCCAGGACCATGGGGTGGGGACGGAGGCAAGCCGTGGGATGATGGCGTCTACACTGGCGTCAAACAAATCTACATCATGAGAACCGACTTCATCGGGTCTGTTCAGATCGAGTATGACAGGAGTGGGCAGTCCATCTGGTCTACCAAGCATGGAAATGGTGGCCAGATAACACACAGGGTAAGTTCAGTTGTGACTTGTGAGTACTCACACAAGCTCTCCAAATCATGAAGTGCAATTGCAGTGCAGTTTTTTTCAGTATTTAACACGTTTATGAAAATGATGTACGGTTTCTCATTAAGCGCACATTGTGCATGCAGATCAAGCTTGACTATCCACACGAGGTCCTGACCTGCATCTACGGGTACTACAACACCTGCGTGGAAGAAGGGCCCAGGGTCTTGAGATCGCTCACCTTCGTCAGCAGCCGAGGGAAGTACGGCCCGTTCGGCGACGAGATCGGGACCTACTTCAGCTCTGCTACGACGGAGGGGAAGGTGGTCGGCTTCCATGGCCGGAGCAGCCTGTACTTGGACGCCATTGGGGTGCACATGCAGCACTGGCTGGGAGACGTGAAAACTACTAGCGCTTCCAACTCCAAGTACTACATCTCCAGGTATCTGTTCTGATCCTGGCTGGTGGTTACCCTGTGATCTGATGCCAACCGAAGGCTGTGGAATTAGTACAGTTTGCAGTGTTTTCTCTGCATGCGGCAAGAAGTTCACTGATGAGCAGTTCTGAATGATGAGTAATCATATCATGGTGTATTTATTTTTTATTCTTATTATTACTGGTAGTAGTTTGCTCTTCAGGAGCCATTGTGTGTTGTGTTGGTGATTTGGTGTGTGATTTGTTTGTCTGGTTTGGAGGATTGAGCGTTGTTGGTATCTGGTCACCTTAAACTTGTCAAAGTCTCTGAATTGATACATTGAACACGATCTGTTAAACAGATTTTGTGCCATCTCATCTCGGTTGTTGTGTCCCGTGGTACATCTGTCTGTCACGAGACATCGAGTGCGCCATCATTCAGTGCTCCGTATTCAGATTTCAGACAGACCAGCACACGACATGAGGTGTTTGCTGTCAGAGCTAGTGCTTGGTTGGTTCTTTCTGCAGATGGCTAGGTTTCGCCCTGTGGCTTGACTCTAGCCGGGGAACATTCAAAGGACTAGTGATTCGCTTAGTTGCTGCGGGCTGTGACTCTAGCCGGAGAGATTCAGAGAACCAATTTGTGAAGTGGGCGAGGAACAAACAGGCAGTACATTAACATCCATCCAAGTGATTGAGCGTTGTCGGTATCTGGTCACCTTAAACTTGTCAAAGTCTCTGAATTGATACATTGAACACAATCTGTTAAACAGATTTTGTGCCATCTCATCTCGGTTGTTGTGTCCCGAGGTACATCTGTCTGTCACGAGACATCGAGTGCGCCATCATTCAGTGCTCCGTATTCAGATTTCAGACAGACCAGCACACGACATGAGGTGTTTGCTGTCAGAGCTAGTGCTTGGTTGGCTAGCCGGGGATCATTCAAAGGACTAGTGATTCGCGTAGTTGCTGCGGGCTGTGACTCTAGCCGGAGAGATTCAGAGAACCAATTTGTGAAGTGGGCGAGGAACAAACAGGCAGTACGTTAACATCCATCCAAGTGTCAAGTGTCTCTCTAGCCCAAGCGATGTACCAAGTGGCAGGCTCTCTCTGAAGTCTGAACTGGTGCAAAGCAACTTGCAAACCTGAATGAAAGCCTGCACTCAAAAGGCTGCAAGCAAATTGCACGGCTGAAAGAAAGCCTGTACAGCAGAGCCCCTCAATCCATATGGACCATACATGTTCCATGTTTCTCCAACAAGATATATACAAACCCATGTTCCATTGAATGAATCAGATGACACGAGTGGCGGACGATTGACGTGCCGGTGCCGCCCCTCAGCCCCAACTGTGTTTTAACTAGCGAAATGCCGGTGATTTCGTCGGTGTGTTTCCAGCTAATGGAAACAGAGACATGCGAACCGCCCTGGAGATAAGATTCTGGAAATGCCCTGTGGGTACTTTGGTTGGGGCCGGCGGCCAGAGGGACAGAATTAGGACGCACGATTGACGGCAAAAACAATTGCAGGGCTGTGTCTGTCCGTCCCTGTCGGAACGGACACACTGCGTTTAGCCTATGCACACTTGCCCTCTGGTAATCGTGGGAGGAACCATTAGGATCGAAGTGGGGAGTCAACTCTATCGCATTGCATGTGCCCTGCCTGTGCTGTGCTCTCGTGTCTCGTTCTGTCGCGGGCCAGGCCAGGGGCTAAAGTTCAGTGACGGTCACATCGGTGTCACATGAGTGTATCATATCCAGCGTTCGGATAGTAATAAAAAAAAATTATAAGAGTGCTCAGTAATCCGTGAGACGAATTTATTAAACCTAATTAATTCATCATTAGCATATGTTTACTGTAGTATTATATTGTCAAATCATGGATTAATTAGGCTTAGAAATTTGTCTCACAAATTAGTCTTAATCTGTGCATTTAGTTTTTTAATTAATCTATATTTAATATTTCATGCATATGTCAAACTATTTGATGTGATAGGGTTAAACTTTTGCTCGAGGAAACAAAGGTACGAGGTGGATCAGTGTTAGGTATCGGGGCGATCGCTTTTGCGTGGCAGAGCACGAGCACCACCCGGCAGTGCAACTCCGTTGCTTGCTTTTGTTGCTCCCCTAACAGGATCTCGGCGGTCGCCGTAGGATCGGGTCGGGCCAACGAGCGAGCGAGTTCCACCCGTCACTTATCAGGTATAGGAGTAGGACGGAGTCGCCGGCGCCGGCAGCAACTGAGCAAAGCAACAAACATGGCTGAGGCTGACGCCGTGTTCCTGCCCGCCGCTCGCAGTCGCAGTCGTACCGCAGCGCACCGCCCATGCGTACGCACCCACGAACTGGCGACCGGAGCCTATCGTCTTTGGGCCGCCTTTCTTTGCGCGCTGCGCTGCCTGCCAATCGGGAACTCGGCGCGTGCGCAAGCGTGACGGCACGAGATCCGCCTGCCGATCTCGCCTTCTGATCTTGCAGAGAGAAAGCGAAGGGGCCAGGAGCGGGCGGCGCGGAGGTGCGTGCTAGTTTCCTTGTGCTGCCATCCGGCTGCGGCCATCGGTCTCGCCGGCTGCCTGCCAGCCAGCCTGCCAAGAGCCGATCCGGAGCCACGTACTGCCGGCGCACGCTGACACAGTGACATCTCTCCCGTCTCCCTGCTGCAGTCCCACATTTTGGAACGAGATTGCGATGGCGCCGCTGCCGTATCTTCCTTGGTTGTTTCAAAAGACGGGAGAGAAAGGCAGGATCGGCAGAATGGCCCGTGACCGCAAAACTATGGATGTACTTTTGCACCTCGCATATACTAGTAGATAAATTTTGTTGTAGACAAATTTAATGTTTAATATTTGTTGATGGATACTATTTAATATTGTCTTTGTTGATGAACATCCTATCTGCTATTTTTCAAAAGTGTAGGAGAGTGAGAAAGTTAAAGTGGCTATTATGTCTCTGGCTATTCTATCCCAACCTTTAATAGTCATTTATAACTTTTGCACATGAAGTAGGATGAAGATAACTTCATATCAAAATTATAGAGCTTCATAAGATCTACAATTTCTAGTTGACAATTTTTTATTTAAAATTATTTAGAGTACTCAAAATAAGTTCTCAGCTTTTAAAATTTAAAATTTAGATTATTTCAACGGCATTGGACGTTGACACGGTCTATACAAGAGTTGTAGTTGTCAATGTAATCTATAATTGTGTACTTGATAAATTTCTTACTTGCTCAGATTTACTTGAAGGACATTGGGAGCATGACACAAAATTGTATCATATCAAGATGAATGTAGACAAATATCGTAGAAAATCGTAGATGACGATGTTGAAACAACTGTGACAAGAGATTAGGATTTTAATGAAACCAACCACAAATTCTATAAGCATTAGCTCTAAAATAGTACAAGTGATTGTTGCTCTCTCACAACCCTAAACTCCAAAAGAGTACAAATTATTGTCGCTTTATCACAACCCTACTTGACTTCAAAAGAGTACATATTGTCGCTCTTTGACCCTCTAAAACCCTTTGATTCTTGTCCTATATATGAATCTAGTGCAATAGAATTGTCTAGTCTAATTTTTTTTTCGAATCATTCTAATTGCTTCTTACAAGTTTTATATGAGACTCTTGTATTAGCTTGGTTGATATGTATGGTCTCCATCCTTTTTTAGTCTCCTCTAAGGCCCGTACATGCAAGTACAGTCCTGTTTTTAATAGGATCCTCTGCTCTAGTTCTACTCTCTCCACCCTTGAATAAATGAATTTATAAAGTTGTCTTAAATTAAACTTTTTCTTAAGTTTGACCCAATTAATAGAAAAAACACCAAGATTTATGACACTAAATTAGTGTTCATTAGATACATCATAAAATATACTCAATCCATCTCAAATTGTAAGACGTTTGACTTTTTTGACACCAAGTTTGACCATCCGTCTTATTCAAAAATTTGTGTAAAATATCACTTCTTTCGTCGTGGTTTGGTTTATTAATAAAAATTCTTCAAGAATGACTTAAATTTGACTATATTTGCACAAATTTTTTGAATAAGACGAGTGGTCAAACTTGGGGCCAAAAAAGTCAAACGTCTTACAATTTGGGATGGAGGGAGTATTTCATAACGTACTCATTTCGTGTCATAAATATACGTACCTCTTTTTATAAAATTAGTCAAACATTAAAAAGCTTGACTTAAGATAACTCTAGAAATTAAGTATGGAAGAAGTAATAGAATTAGAAGTTCTAATAGCACATCTCTCTTAAATGCTAGTCAAGTAGTTATTTTTACGAGTAGTCAAGTAGGATTTGAGTCTTTTTAGGTTACATAGTACAATCCTAGGATTTTAATGGAGCCTGTTCGTTTGACTGTGGTTTGTTATAAATGATCGTAAATTTTTACCTGGAACAATATTTTTCTCTCACACAAATCAGCCAGTTGTACTTCTTTATGAATCAGCAACGAAACGAACCAGCCAACCGAATAGGCTGATGATCGCCATCTCCACTTTTATTTAATGAAATATGTGTCATAGGGTATGGTCGCGAAAAAAGTAGGATTTGAGTCATCCTACCACGCTATAGCTCGTGTGCTCTCCAATTGGAACACCAGCTTGACAGTACAATCCTGTTGAACAACCTTTTGAGGTGGCACAGACAAGATGGATAAATATGACCCTGTTAGGTTCGTTGAAATTTGACTTTATGTTAATACTTATGTTAAAATACTATGAGAGAAAAATACTATTGATTCGTTGAAAAGTATTGCTAAAGTAGTGCAGAGTATAAATCCAGCCACCCAGCAGCCGTGATCTCTATCGAAAACAGTGCTGGCTCCGAGAACAGGCAAAGCTGACGCACTGACAGGAGGTTGTATCCTTTAGGCAAAAGTTATCGAATGTTTGATACTAATTTAGAGTATTAAATATAGATTAATTATAAAAATAATTGCACAGATTAAGGCTAATTTGAGAGACGAATCTATTAAGTCTAATTAGTCTATGATTTGACAATGTGATGCTACAGTAACATATGCTAACAATATATT